AGATCTCGCTCTGTAGGATCCTCCCACCAAGGGACCGGTTCGGTTCCCTGTCGCTGGCGTGCTTGGAAGTCCAGCTGCATGATCTCCCTTCCGGGAACGTGTCGCACTTGCAGACGGTTCTGAGCCGCCGACGCTGAGGCAGGAGGCGTCACACTGTCGGATTCGGCATCATTCTGAGTCTGCTGGCGCGCCTGCTCAAAGGCTGCGTCCAGATCCTCTTGAGCCTGCCTGGCGATATAATCGTCCAGCTCAGCAACATTGTAGGATCCTGGCGATCCGTCGTCTGACGAACCACCTGGGAACGGGTCGTACAGGTCGTCATCGGCCCTGAAGCTTTCTATCAGAATAGCTTCTCGATAATCGCGATCGAGGTCCGGGTCCTGACTGTGCACAACGGAATCGGTCCCCAGGGGATCCGAAATGTTGTACAGCTCCGGAGTATTTGGAGCTGGCTCAGGCTCTGGAGCTGGATCTGGCTCTGGAGCAGGAACGGCTGGAACAGGCTGCTTAGCCTTCCCCTTTCCTTTGTTGCGCCCGGGGCTACGCCCTCGGGCCACCATTGCTGTCGGGGCGAACTCCCAGGAGGGACTTATGGGACTAGACCCGACTACCATGGTGATTGCTTCCTTAAGCCACAAGTGAAGCCCTGTTGGGTGAATCCGTTCCTCCAACGCAATGGCCTGGTTGATGCGATCTTGGTACAAACCCATGATCTGCAGCACTGCCTCAGGGTCGAGGTCAGCGGTCGCGTCGTCAGCGGTAACCGCTTGAACCAAGGGAAGCGCAAGGTCCGTCGCTTCCAAGATGCGTTCCGAGACGGCTTTCCGTTCTCGGTGAAACTCCTGCGGCACTTCATCAACGATAGTGCCACACATTCTACAGAAGGTTCGGGACGTGGTCCTCGAACTACCCCGATGGTCTGTTGCTTCGTGTGAGCATACAGAGGGGTCTACGGTATATACATGTTCCCGTTTATCCTGGGATACATGGCCGCAGTCCCTGCAGGTCTTGCGGACGTAATTTGCGGAACTTCCTTGGTAGGAGAATTCCGTGCACGAGCTACACTTCTCCGCCAAGGGCGGATTTGGTGGAGTCTTCTTCTTCGCGCCCTTTCCCCTCGGGCGAGGGTTGTAGGTTCCCTCAGGGATACCTATCGAGGCACGAGTTTCGCGATGGTATTGACCTCCATACACCCTGCTGAATGACGTAATATCTATTAAACCAGGTGAGGAAATCCTTAAGGTGCGCGGCAGGGCTCGGCTGGACGAGGGCCCAGCGCACGAACTCAGTCTTACGGGATACCTCCTCGTAAGTCTGGCCCTTGTGTTGACCGAGATTAAATCTTCGGTCGGCACCCTCCATCTGCATTGAGCTAGATGGTTGTGAGGGGGCAGCCTTGGATCTAGCTTCGTCTAGATCCCGCACCATATGGCCACTAGGGTCCATATCGTTCCCTGAGGGAACGTACAGGCCCCCGTCGGGGTCCTGTCGCGGCTCCACAATTGCTATGTGGGCCCGGGGTTTTCCTTTCCCTCCTTTAGAGGTAGGGAATTTGCACTCGGGGTCACCTGCCCAGTGACCAATAGCTCCACACCTGAGGCATTTCGACCGTGCCTTCAGGTTTTTCATTTTCTCGCGACGTTCGTCGAGCGTAAGGTGTGATCGCACTACCTTACCTTTCCCTTTTCCTTTGCGGCCCTTGCCCTTACGCCCCTTCGCTTTTCCGAATGCGGCGTTCGCGGCAAGCCGCAATTGAATTACATGGCCGCTGTCTGCATCCTCGGGATCAAGCTCCTCGAGGCAGTTAAGGGCAGTTGCCTCTTCTTCCTCGAGCTCGAATTCCTCGTAGCCCGGGTCCTCTTCCTCCTCCCCGGCGGGGTAGGAGTGAGGATCGTACTCAGACTCGTCCCCAAAGGCGGGGTACGAGGTGTCGTCGTACTCTTCGGCATCGTCGCCGTCGTCCGGCGGCGCATCGTCGTAGTACTGCGTCTCGTCTTCAGCGACGTAGGCGCGACGGTTAAAACCCTTAGACCTATTCTTACCGTAGCCCTTAGGGTTCCCGCGGCGGGCACCAGGATGGTGATGCGATCGGCGGTCCTGAAAGGTACCGCCACCTAAGGAACGACCTTCCTTTAGGTGTACGCCGCTGTAGTGCTCCACTAGGGTAGCAGCGACTGCTTCAAAGCTCCGGTTGCTAGTGGTGCATGCCTTAATGACAAGGCACTCTTGCCGAGTCAAACCGGAAAGCTCCAATAGCAATTCTACGCGCATCGGCTCGGAAAGCTCGATGCTAGCGTCGAGAGTTTTAAGCAGTTTCCACCAGCGTCGTCGTCGGCTGACGTACGACAGCATCGACTCGCCGCCTTGGCGTGCGAGGACACCTTGCTTCTGGCCCGCACGGAAGAGCTCTCGGGCTTCTTCGGTCGCACGGGGGAAGACGACATTCCTCAACTTGGTGATGAAATCCCGGAGGCCACCAGGGGCAGTCAGGGATTCGATACCGATATCCCGGGCGAGTTCGAAGGCTTCGTCCCGAAGTCCTTCCAGCACTTTATGCACCATTTCGGTTCGTGCTTTAACCGCATAGGATGACATTTCGTCGGCAACCGGCAGTTCTGTGACCGAGTCAGGTGACTTCGGTGCAGATGGTCTCCTGCGAGATCCACCATCAGAGGCTGCTGCCGTTGCCTCGGCTGCATCCATGTCGGGCCTGTCCTCGGAAGGTACAGGGGCAGTGGCTCCCGCGGTCGGACTCTGCTCCACGACGCGGCTCTCATCGTCACTGCCTTCTTCTTCTGGCTCCACGGTCTTCTTAGGTTTGCTCCTGACAGCATCTTCGTACAGTTTAAGCCTCATAGAGGTCCTAAACTCCCAGTCGTGGAACGTACTGGGGGTGCCATCATATATGTAGCTCCCGCTACGAGTCTCAAGGGGAGTACTCGAGTAGGTGGAGCGACTGTACCGAAGACCGGCCACGGACATGTTTGGCGAAAGTTCGAAGGGAAAGAATTGAGAAGGAGGTATGCAATGGTAGGTATTGAGCACAGGCTACAGGCTACTGCGATCCACGCAGATACAGGTCCCGGAGGTACCTGGCTCCGCTGCCAGTTTGAGAAACTGGTGGATCTTTTCGCCGACTGCGAAGCTATCTGAATATGACTCAAGGGCCCTAACGGCAGCGGGATATATATACAGTTAACACATGCATGTCATGGCCATGGCTTCCTGTACATGTACAACAGAGGGTGCATTCACAGTTAGCATCGGGAGCAGCAAAGTCCTGTATCTCTACAATACCCCAAAAAACCTATGCTATCTGGTGGCTCCTTATTATAACTGTATTGGACTTTACCCCAAAAACCCATTGAAATAATGAAGCATCAAGCAGACGACACCCCTGCAAGTCCGAAGTCAGGTCTGCGGGCTGCCTTCTTGTAGAAGAACTTCTGCCAATTCGTCTGCGGCGGTATTGCGTTTCGAAGGCATCCGTTGCAAGAATGAGCATTCTCACAAGTCTGCACTGTCTGGCATAGATGTGCATCTTGAATTTGAGCTCATGGGCTAGATTATAGGTCATGTCTCTCAAAGTTTGATTCCGCTATTCGAGAATCCTTCAGGCAGTCATTCCTGCAACGGCGTTGGGTGACCGGGCGCCACCTTCCACGCCACTGCCTCCTCGTGGCGACTCATAACACTTCTGCTCCACCTGCTGATGCTGCTGCCACTGCTGCTAGCACTGCTTGCTGCTGCCTTGTCTCCTCATCCTCCTCATGCAGCTTCTACTGCCACAACCTCGGCCACTTCTACCCCAACTCCTCCTCTTCCTCCTCCTACCACTGCTCCTTCGCCGCTACTGCTACTGCGGCACTACGGCGACCAATGCAGGTGCCACGACTGCTACCTCACAGTAACATAGGGGCCTTAACAAATAGAATAGAGAGGGCGCCCATTATGCCATGCTTGTCATAAGGAACACCCAAAACAGTATTGGTAACTATTTAGGCCGCTCTAGTAGTGCATCAAGATGAACAATTCGAGCACGTGGCCTGCTGCTTCACGTGCTCGTGCTCCAACTTGTCCGCGCGCTGCTGCTTCTTGATGGCCTGGTCTCGGCAACCCTAAGCCCTGGGAATCGGCTCGGAAGCTCCAGCTCCGGGAGTTTCTCCTCAACCTAAAACAGAAAGACAATATCTAAGTCCTTTGCACCTCAAACGTCGAATCTTCAGCACTCGCCAGGTAACCCTAAATCCTAAACGCCTAAACCCTTAAACCCCTAAAGCCCCTGCTCCCTAAACTCGAAGCCGTGAAAGCACCTCGCAACAAGAGAAAAGCCCTCAAGCCCGGATGCCCATAGCATCAACCCCGGGACCCTAAACCCTAAACCCTAAACCGGTTTCAGCACTCACACTCGGACAAGCCTACCCTAAACCGGTTTAGGGTTTAGGGTTACAGGGCTTGAGCTTAAGGCAAAGCACAGCAGGGCCGGGGCAGGGCCCAGGGTTCAGGGCTCAGGGTGTAGTAGGGTTTATAGGGTTGAGGGTTTAAGGTTTAGGGTTTAGGGTATAGGGTTTGGGCTTAGTGGGTTTAGGGTTTAGGGGTTAGGGTTTATAGGGTTGAGGGTTTTAGGGTTTTGGTAGGGTTTCGGGTTTTGGGCCTAGGGTGTCAGGCCTGGGGCGCAACAGACTCTGCAAGATCGGATCTGTTTCCCCCCCTGAGTTGGGAAAGCAAGTACAGCTGTCACGTGGTGAACTGAAAATTTGCTTCACCAGCTGGCCTGGCAGGAGACATACTCCTTGCTACTCCTCTCAGCACAGCAAAAACCTGCTAGATTGAGGGCTTGAAACTTCCACAGACGAACTGTAAGGAGCGGCTCCTGAGGGGAACACATGGACTGCTACAAGTAAGTCTCGCAACATCTGTGGCAAAGAAACGCGACATGCACCAAAGAAAAAGAGAAAGCAACCGCGGGAGAGAGGGAGAGAGAGAGAGAGAGGGAGAGATTAGAACTTAACTCCATTTGCTATCTTCCGTCCATCATCCGAGCAACCACAGCAAAGAAGGGCCAATGAATGCCGGGAGGCCGTGATCTTCCTCCGCTTGGCCTCGATAATGTCTTCGGTATCGGTCTTCCTGGGTGTGCTTCGGAGGCTTTAGGGCATTTTGGGCTTTTAGGGTTTAGGGAAGCCAGCATCACCAGAGCATCAAAGCGACAGGCCCCTCTGGCCCTATGTGCATCTTCAGTATCATAGTATTTTGGATCCAAGTTCTGGGTTTGGGGCTTTTCACTGGTTTTGCATAGGGCTTCACCAGGGTCCTGGAGGCATGAGCCCGCAGGTGCTTGCATCCAAGGCCTAAACTCTAAACCCGGAACCACATCTGAATCTCATCTCATCCTCTGCAGGCAGCTGCAGTTTCAAGTGCTACTTTGCCCGAACAAAACCTCCGCCTTTCCCAAACTCTGCTGGGACGCTGGATCTGCATGCTCTCTGGAATCTTGTACCCGGCCGGCGTGGTGACCTTTCCGCCGCGCTCCGAATAACCACTGACACCAGAGCTTCAAAAGTCTCAAGACAGCGCATGTTAACCAAGCCCGAAACGCCTTCCTGAACGTTCTCAATTCCAAAGCCACGTGATTGTTAAGACTGGGAGGGAAATGAGCTTTGCTGTTGTACTTCTGTGTCTGTCTCCCCTGCTCTGACTGCATACGTAACGGGTACGAGTAGTTCATTCATCTATGAGAGTCGATGCACTGGTGCTGAATGCACTGCACAGAGCCCATGGGATTTTCGTGCGGGACACAGTCGCACATCACCTACTGTAATGTCAGCCCTGAGCTAAACACGGGGCCTCCTTGATGGTGCGCTTCTGCTGCCCGACTTTCCTGAGATAGGTGCTTGGGATGAGCCGTAGGATGACTCTATCGAAAGTGCTTGGATGTCGATCTCTCAAAACTGAGAGGTCCTGCTTCAGGAATCATGATCCTACTATCGAGGGCTTAGATTTGGATTCGACACTTGCCGAAAATCTCACAAACAAGTTGCGCCACCTAGGCCGTACTGGCCACCTCAAACCCCCAAAAACCCTGCAAACCAAACCCCAAACCTTCAACACCCGGAAATCCCTAAACCTTAAGCCCTCAACGCCCCTAAACTTAAACCCCTAACCCCTAAACCCCAAACCCTCAAGCCCTAAACCCCTAAACCCCCTCACCCTGAACCCCTTCACCCTCAACCCTAAGCCCTCAACGCCCGGGACTAAAACGGCGGGCCCCAGTCGCCCCGAGGTCTGCAGCCGGATCTGATCGAAGCGGACCTCGGCACGGCTGCCATAGTCCATGAAGGTGATCCTGAGCTTAGGGGTAAAGGGGTTTAGGGGTTTAGGGGCTTTGGGTTTTAGAGTTTAGGGCATAGGGGTTTGGGGGTTTGAGGTTTGAGGTTTAGGGGTTCGAGTTTAGTTTAGTGGTAAGGCTGAGCTTGGGGTATAGGGGTTTCGACTCGCACACTCGCAAAGCAGGCACGGCGGGGTTAGGGGGTTTAGGGGTTGAGGGGTTGTGGGTTTAGGGGTTTAGGGGTTTAGGTTAGGCTATAAAGGCGCAGGGTTTACGAGGGTTCAGGGGTGAGGCTCTGAAAGGTTTGGGGTTCTGAAAGATCCTGCGGGGGGCTTTGAGAATCTGAGTTTCACTGGGCCTCTTGGGACTGCTTTCGCTGCTAGGAAGGTGAGGATGCTCTGGCGCTTGAGGCCTCAAAGCTTCAAGTCTGGCGTTGGCGATGATGATGAGAACTTTTGGGGCGAGTTTGGTGGATTGGGAGTCTCCACTATCTAAATCCTCAACCTCGGATTTGGGCTCAACGCAATCAGGTAGGCCACTGGGAGCGTAGGGTTCAGGGTGTCGCAGCTTGGGACTTAAGGCCCAAGGAGCTTGTAGCCCTTCTCCGTCTGCTCCGTAATGACCTCGGCGAGGCGTTTAGAGTTTAGGGTTTACCTGGGTTTATCAAATGTTCTTATGTAAACAATACAATCACTAGTCGCCGCCGCCAGAGTAGGACTAGTAGCAGTCGTCGTCGTAGCAGCAGTAGTAGCAGTTGTTGCAGTAGTACAAGTAGCAGTAGTAGCAGCAGCAGTAGCAGTAGCAGTAGCAGTAGCAGTAGCAGTAGCAGTAGCAGTAGCAGTAGCAGTAGCAGTAGCAGTAGCAGTAGCAGTAGCAGTAGTAGTAGCAGCAGCTGCAGTAGTAGTAGTCGTCGTCGTCGCAGTAGTAGTAGTAGTAGTAGTAGTAGTAGTAGTAGTAGTAGTAGTAGTAGTAGTAGTAGTAGTAGTAGTAGTAGTAGTATAGTATAGTAGTAGTAGTAGTAGTAGTAGTAGTAGTAGTAGTAGTAGTAGTAGTAGTAGTAGTAGTAGTAGTAGTAGTATTAGTAGTATTAGTAGTATTAGTAGTAGTAGTAGTAGTAGTAGTAGTAGTAGTAGTAGTAGTAGTAGTAGCAGGAGTAGTAGTAGCAGTAGTAGTAGTAGTAGTTGTTGTTGTTGTTCAGCAAGAATCTACGTCTTCAAACAGTCGTCGCCGCCGCCGTCGTCGCTGCCGTTGCCGTCAGTAGCGCAGTGTATAGTAGCAGTACCAATGCCATGGTTCTTGGTGCCAACCGGTTCTGATGGGTCTGATGATTACGTTTGTCTTTGCTGCTGGTCTCTCAAGATGCAACTCGTGACCCAAACCCTGGCCCTCACCCCTACGACTGTATAAGCCCCGAAGCCGAACCCCAAATCGGACCCCAGGCCCGGAAGAATCACAGGCGTTCTTTCGCCCGCTTGAAACAAACGTCGCCGGGATCCCCAAATCATGCGATCAACAGCGCCAGGATCCTTGCTGATATAGGGGCTGTACTGGCTTTAACCGCGTCTTGGGGTATTCCAGTAGAATCAGACGAGGAACCCTTAAGGAATCAGGCTTCTGCACTAATTATGTCAGCCGAAAAAACAACCACAGCATTCGAAGAACCCCATTAAGGGTATATTACCTAGGGGTCCTTATTAAGGGGAACCTCCCTTTTGTTCCCCTTGAAAAATAATCACCTATACTATTTGAGGGGCTCCTTTAAAGGGGTGTATAAGGGGCTACGATAAGGGATCTATAAGGGCCCTGGGTCATCTCTGCAGGCCGGGGACACAGTCGTACCAGAGGCCATCGTCTGGGAAGATCGCCTGTCGGTGGGAGTCTTGGTTTAGGATTGTGTAGGAAAATCGAGGTCCACAGGCGAGGGGAAGCTTCGGGAAACAACGTCTGCTTGCCTCAACTGTTCCCCAATGACACAAATTAGAATAGACGATCTTAGACGGCGTTGCTTTCGCTCTTCATGGTCTTATAGCAATATTTTTTATGTGCTCTATTAGTCAGAGCACTGCAGCCTTTGACTCTTCAATCTAACTATCAAGTGCCCGTTTAGGTTTCGGCGCTCACACTCGGACAATCCAGGCCATTTAGGTTTAGGGGTTTAAAGTTCCCGGGCTTAGGGTTCAGGGTACAGCTTGCCGTGTAGGCTCCGGGGCTTCTTGCATTTAGGATCGTCTTCTGAGCTGGTGAAGTCTAGGGCATTATTATCATTATTATTATTACTATTATTATTACTATTATTATTATTACTATTATTATTATTATTATCATTGTTGTTATTGCTTTCTTTGGATGGTAGGGTTTGTAGTATTGGAGGACAGGGTCCGGCGTGAGCGACGGGATTCAGCGAGTGCAGCATGCGCCGCCGGTGGTGTATGTTCCAAAGTTGAAGGTTTGCCGGTTTATGGTTCTTTGGCTGAGGGCTGAGAATGCCCCCCAATTACAAAAGAAGCTTGCCGACAATGCCAAGCTCAGATGTCGCTGCCAATGTGAGGAGAAGAAGAATGAAGTAGTTGCTCCATCTTACCCGCAAGCACGAGGTCATGCGAACTCGAAGAAATACCTGACAAGAACACACATCTACATAACTGGTACAGCAACCCGGCTTGCATGTATTTTTGGCCTCCCATGCCGTTTGTGTCGTTTGTAGGGTTTAGATCGAGGCTGACAAGCGCTGGGAGAAGAACCTGACAAGATCAGGAAGGGCCAGTAGAAACCTAGTGACAAATACAATCTGACCAAACCGGTGCACGCAAATGAACAAAATAGCTTAGAATCATCACAACAGCTTTAACAACAAAAGGTATCCGAAGAGTCAGGCCCTACTTCGTATTGCCGGTGCATGCGTGCAGTGTGTATCCTTTCTTGCCTTGAGGGTTTGGGGCCGCAAGATTCCGTGGCGTCACAGCTTTGAAACCGGGCTCGAGGGCTTTGGGGGTTTTGGAGCTTAGGGGGGTTTCCCTAAACCCTGAACCCTAAATCCAAAACCATAAACCCCAAACCCCGGGGCTTCGGGGAGGATCCTGCCTGGCACTTCGTTCCTGGCTGACACTGGGCTGGATGTGGTGGTCGCAAAAGGCGGACGTCCGTCACCTGAAGGTTTCGGAGGGCTCGGTGCGCTAGCAACCCTTGCTTGGTCTACCTGTCAATCTAATGATAAAGCGCTCTGTGGTGCGAATCACTGTCACAGCCTGTGGCGGATCATCAACCAGCAATACATGACACCAGCAATCCGAGCTCCAGAGCACTACAAAAGCAGGTCGATCCGATTGCGGCAGGGCGATGACTCTTCCACGACATGACATGGCTTGAAGTACTTCTGAGCTGACCCTAAGTCCTACCCCATATGCCCGAGCCCTAAACCCCAACCCTCTAGCCGAAAACGTCCCCACTTCCAGGTTCAGGCAGATGTTGCAAGTAGACTGCCTACCCACTTAACCCCCCGAATCCCACAAACCCAAACCCGCAAAGAACCCGTCAAGGAGCCCATAACCCTGTGATAGAAGCCAGAAAGTTGGAATATCATTATCGTAACCCCTTTAAGGTAAATTATAGGGGATCCTACCATTAATCCATATTCCAACTTTCTGGAGTTCCCTGTAGTGCCCTAGTTACTAAGCCCCGTCAAGCCGGCCTTGAACTCCCTGTTGTTGGAGAAGCCGATGAACTCCACCATGCATCGCTCCTGCCCACGCTCGTCCCGGCGGACAGACTTGATCTCACCTGTTCAGGCTCCATCGTTTAGGGTTTTCATAGACAATACACACCTTGATTGGGTTGTCGGTGGTTCAGGCTTTAAGGCTTTACGGCGGTTTTGCGGTTTAGGGTCCCCGCGGATCAGAGCAGGGCGCAGGGGAGTTCAGGCTTTCATCCACGGAGGCTTTCACGTTCACAAAGGCCTGAGACCGGACCCGGCGAAAGTAGATAATATCCTTATCCGAGCCATGAAACGAAGCTTTTAGGGTTCAGGGTTTACGCTTCCGCAATCCTCCGATGTCCTAGGAAGAACATACGATTCCTGCCGCCGCAAGCTGTCAATCGTCCAGACGTCTGTTTATTGCCGGAGCCTATAAACCTCTGAATCCTGCAGAATCCAGACCCCTGAACCAACATTTAAAAAGCCGTAGCAACCTTAAAGCTACCAAGGCAAAAGTTATCGAATAACCAACCTTAACACAAAGTACGTGTTTCAACCTAATGGACAAAAACGAAAGCCAGGGCGCCGTTGTACCACTTCTGCTCAAAGAAGGCCTCGCACGTGCGGCCGACGAGCGCGGTGTGCACCGACTTGCCGGCCTTTTTGCCACTTTGAAAAGCGGGTGGAAGTTTAGGATTTACGGTTTAAGGTTCAAGGCAGGATGTAAGTTTTCCAGGTTTAGGATTTTTAGCTCACAACTGGGAGGCGGATTTTGGATTCAGGGCTTAGGCTGTTCGGGCAAATCGGTTGAGGGCTTTTTGTGGCGGTTTGTCGCGGTTCATGCCTGTGGCGTCTTTGGGGCTTTGTGAGGGCTTTATAATATAAGGGTTTGACAAGGGTTTCATCCAAAGAAGCTTTTGGACGTCTTTGGGTGTTGAGGGCTGTTCAGACGACTTTATAAGTAAGGGTTCTGAAATTTGTGAATGGGTAGGTTACGCCAAAGAAAGAAGGCACAACTCTAAATCCCAGACAACCCTATTTTTGCCCCAAAGCCAATGCCCTAAGCTCTAGACCTTGCACAACACCACACGGCAAGCCAAGGGACGGAACGAGAAGTGGGCAGCGGCCTCGGCGAGAGGCAGCAGCTTCGGATGGAAGCAGTGGGGGTTTTGGGGCTCTCAAAGCGCCACAGTGCTATGCACTACTTAGGGGTTCAGGGCAGTTTGTAAGCAGGGCCATAAGTGCCTTAGTTGGGTTATAAGTAGGTACAACTGTACCTACTTCCCTGTGACTGCGTGCTAGGTCTCCCGAATCTCTAAGCAATATCTCTGGTGCCAGAAGCTAGAATCTGGAATTCGAGCCATGGAGAAAGACAGTGACCATGACTCGGATTTTGACAGCAAGCGGAAACCCTGAACCCTTGAGTCCCCCGAAGTCCGAAACCCTCACCCTGTTGACCCCAAACCCAAGCACTCTATTTGGGGCTTAGGGTTTAGGGTTTCAACTCGCACGTGCGCTCGACGCAGGCACGGCTTCCGAGGGTTTAGGTTTTCAGGTTTAGGGCTTCACATCCGGAGTACACTGGAGGAGCGCTCGCCCTGCCAGCCGTCTCGGCACCCGTCTCGGCTTCGGTGGGCGCTGCGGCCTTGCCCCACGAGTAGACGAGCAGGGAGAGGCCCATGCTTTTGTTGGGTTCAGTGGGTTTAGGGGAGTACCAAGTAGACGGTATAGGAAGGTCAGGCCCAGGGTTGAGGGCCTTGGGAGTCGAGGGTCTGTGATCTTTGTACGCCTCCGGTTCAGAGTAAAGGAGGGCTTGGGGCGTGGGTCTGCAGCCTGGGGCTTCAAGCTAACAGCTGCAGAATGCATGCGGGGCAGCTAGCCGCAGCAGGTCACGAAGCCTAGGCTTACTGGAGAGATCTCTTTCCAAAAGCCTGCACCCCTAGATACCCACACTCCCGTACCCAGATGGGTGGACGTTCCACACACCTTCAAGGCCCGCCCAAAAAAATCCAAACACACACGCGATGCCGATTCGCAGGGCCTTGCCTGGTACTTGACCAAATCTTCCGTCAAGACGATGACCTGGAAAAGGTGAGGCGCTGCGCGAGCCCAAACCCTGCAATCCGCTTCCTACCCTACCAAGCCCTCGAATCCACTCGAAAAGCCCCTCAAAATCCCTGTTTAGCACTGCTTGCTACTTCTTGGGATGTATTGTAGTAGTATATCTCTTGATTCGTTGCACTACATGCCTGAGTTTGCCTTGTCTTTCACTTCTACAGTGCTCAAGATCTTTGTGCTTGTGTGCTACTCTGTTTGTGTATCTGGCTACTCTTGGAGTAGCTCTTGCTGTTTGGTCAGCTTCTGTTAGTGCTCGTTTCTGCAGCATCTGCTTTTGCTATTGGTGTGTATGTAAGAATGAGCTCGGCAGGTTCTTGCCACAAAGTATGCCTTCAAACCCCTCAAGGAAGCTTGGCGCCAAACCCGAAAATTACCTTGACCGCTTGCACTGAAGCCTGAACCCTGTACCGAACACCGCGCAAACGCCCCCCTGACTGCGAAACCCGACAGTCGTATCTCTGCACCCCCAAACCATGAAACAGAATCGACATCGTCATAGCAGCTCTTCTTGCAGCAACGCCACGAGAGGGGTGGGGAAAATGCGTCCCATCCCTACAGTAACCCGTGCAGTAAAGCCGTTATGTCGAGAAACCCTTGCAGAAATCCATATTATCGGAGTTTCCGCACATTAGGGGTACCTTATTTGTGGGTTCTCGTGATAGGGATCCTGCTATTTAGGGTGCTGTATCAGGGTCCCCTATTTTCGGAAACTCCCATGTTAATAGCTCTTACCGAGACAGCCACCTCTGTAAGGTCGTTCTTCAGCTTCACCAGGGACGGCTCATCAGGCTGCTGTTCCAGGGCCTGCGAAACAAACGCGCTGGAGACAGAACACTTCTTTGACGCTCACACTCGGCAATACCAGGCAGGCGAGGTCAGAACACTTTAGGGTGCAGGGTTTCGGGCTTAGGAGAAGGGTGGAGACTGCTATAAAACTGACACCGGCCATTCAAACATTGGAGTTTAGCCTTCAGGGTGCTCTGGAAACAGGGGCCCCAGGAAGGTGTTTTAAAATTTGCAGTATGTCGTTAAAAGTTGAGGAGTCTAGCCGCCAGTCTAGCCTTGTGGGTTAGCTTTGTTACCATCATCAACACCAGTATCATGACTGCCACCCCGAGCTGAAACATGCACTTCGCCAGTGTCCAGATTGTCCCCTGATTAATACAACATGTGCCAACATAGCAACCTTGCACTTGTAGTGGCAGCAGTTGTAGCAGAAGCAGCATCAGGAGTAGTAGTTGTAGTCGTCGTCGTGGTGGTGGCAATCGTCGTCGTCGCCGTTGTCGCCGTCGTCGTAGCCGCCGATGTCGTAGTCGTCGCAGTCGTTCACCGAAGAATGACATGCCAATGCAAAACTCGATGCAAACAAAGCCAGCAGAACAGCCGTAAACACCCCCAAGACCTCAAGCATCTCAAAAGTGCAAATCCAACACCCCGGACCCTACAACCCCGCAACAACCAGGAAAACCCCAAATGCCGCCTCTTCCACTTGGGCCAACTGCTCACGGTAGGTGTCGAGCTTTGTCAGCAACTCCTCCGCCGACTGTTGGAAGTCCATAGCGGCCTAAGCTCGGCGGACTTCAGAGACTTAGGGGCATCGTTTACTTACCTTTGGTTAGTAGGGAATGGAAGAATGGTAGTAATAGTAGTTATAATGGTACCCCATTCCTCCATTCCCAACTAGGCTTAGGGTTGCGAAGTAGGGCTCAAGAGGATTTCTGCGGCTTGAAACTTTTCGGGTTCAGCAGCCGCAGTAAGCCCCAAGCCCGAAACCCTATACCCGATACCCCAACCCGTACACCGGCCAAGACCCCAAAACCTCGAATCTGACTTTCTAACAAACCATGACATGGAATCTCAAATCTAGATATGTGCACTTATATGGGGACTACAAGTGGGGTTTACAAACAAGCAAAGCACCACGCTCAGTCCTCTGGTAAAACAACAAGTGCATAGTCATACCTTGCTACCTCTGCTTGCTTTGCCATAAGTTCGCCGTCGCGGTTCGCACCCCTCTTAGCTACAAAAACGAATCTTTCTTCTCTAAGCCCGAAGCCCTGAACAGCCAATCTTATTCTGTTCTCATGCTGAGTGCCCAAAAGCGCTGTGGCTCGGAAGCCCAAAGCCCGAAACCTAGGCACCAAATCCACCAGCTGTAATCACGACTGCCGACTACCCTAAACTCTGCGCCCCAAATGCCAAAGTACACTGCATGTCTCATTCGGTTCTACTGTGACTTGGCCGAGGCGCCGTTCGCGCTGGGGCTCTCCTCTATCCAAAATGATCTTTGAGGCGAAACGGCTTTGTGCAGGCAATGGTCAACAGCTGATCTGAAGCTTCGGCTCTGGAGCTTGCTGCACGGCCTAGTCACCATTGAAGCTACCTCTAGCTATGCCGAATTAACCCACATCGGAATTCGGAATACTTGCAGCCCCTCTTGCTGAACCTCCAGGTGTAACCTGCCAGACGCCGGACAAGGACAAGAAGGATACTAGTAGGTGCATCATGTCATCTGTACCAACCTGAGCTCTGGTAGACCCCGAATAGCACGCTTAAAGGACTTCTGACAGTAGCAAACGAAGGACCCTGAAAATGATCCCTAAAAGGAACCCGCAAAGGAACTCTCAGGAAAGGCACCCTTGCAGGAGCCCGTAAAGGAGTGCTTTAAAAGGAACCCTATAAATGAAGGAACCCTGACACGCACTACGAAACGGCAAGGCCCCAGCGCTGCTGGCAGACCCTAACCTGAGGCATATTTGGGTGGTTGTAAAATTATGGTCCGTTGTTTGGGTCCCTATCATAGTACGGCACCTATTAATTCGGGTACCCAAAAAAGGGGCCGTAATTTTGACAAACCACCCATTTGGAGAAACAAGCTGTCAGGGCTTCCTTTTCAGTTGAGGTGACTTTTGTCCGCTTTCAGGGTTTCGACGCTCACACACGCACAAGGCAAGGCGGGGGTTTAGGGTTCAAGGTTTCAGGTTTGGGGTTTAGAGATTCAGGCAGATGTGCAACACCCCACACACGATCTGCGCAGATTTAAGCCTGTCCGAAAAGAAACTGAAACTGCTGGGACAACGACAGAAGCTAGAGAGCCCAATACCCCTTAATTAAGGAATATGGCTTAAATCATAATATGAAGCCCTATATAATTCAAGCCATATTCCTTAATTAAGGGGTATTGGGCTCTCTGATAACCTACCAACCCAGCCCAGAAAAAGGCCGCACCCGGTCCCATCGCGCAGGTCAGGGCTTTTGTGCTCTCAACACAAGGAACTGATCCCAGTGAGGGCCGGGCGCCCCCCGATCGGCTAAAGAAAGCGTCACAATGAACTCTGTTCCTGGCTTGCGAGCTCCGAAGGTTTGGACTCTCTTAGTATTTTGAGGTTCCTCGTTTTAACTATCATACAATGTACCCCAAATCCTCCTCTGATCAATAAGACCCCCATGGTAGGACTGTGCGATGTATTCAGATCGGTCTCGTGCAGGGACACACAGTGGACACGGCCAGCCTATGCTCAAACAAAGCATGACTGTCGTAAGCCTCCCAGAACCGCAAACCCCTACTTCCCAGATATTCCAAAGGGCGGTTGGCCTTTCGCTGCTGGTGGTCCCGCGAAGACCTCTCTGACAGTCCAGGTTTCAGACATGGGCTTCGGGGTTAGGGTTTAGGGGTTTAGGGGTTTAGAGATTAGGGCTTCGGGGTTAAGGCTTGGAGATTCAGGAATACTTGGCCGCGGTAAAGAATCTTAAATCGCAAGAGACATATTATAGAAATCTGAAGGACCACTCAACAGAAACCCCTAATTTTCCGAAGTTCCTCAGTATGCGCTTCTAGGTTCGAGGGTGTCAGCGGTCATGCCAGGGCTGCTCTAAACTATGCTCCATCTCTGTTGTTCCTATCCATGTTTTGTCTGCATCTCTCCATCTCTCATTCTGGGATTCGGAGCCACACCCGTGCCCAAGTAAGAACACTGACCGGAAAGCGCAGTCAAAGGTTACAAAGGGAACCTCGGGGTGTGAATATGCGGGGTCTGAATAGGGTTTCGGGTTTAGGACGTTGAGTTGTGTAGGGCTGTGAATCGTCTGAATCATTAGTAGGGTAAGTTTTAAGTGTATTTCAACACAAACTCCGATAAAGAGGGTCCTAACTACTCAGGCCTCGACGTTATATGATGGCTATGGGCTTCGGGTCTTTGGAGGCAATTCAGGCACACTCACATCTCGAGCTTCCAGTCTACATTTCAGGGCCGTTTGGGATCCTACTGGGTGAACCTAGAGGCTTCGAGGGTAGCAGTGAGACTTCCTCTCGTCAACAACCCGAAATCCTGCAAGTGGGTTTAGGGCTCACAATTACCGACCCAACTCGGGTGAGCTCCAAAATGAAATACTGGAGCTCTACAGAGCACGAAACACAGCTTCTGACGTCAAGATCGTCAAGCTCTATGAATCAGACTCCCCAAAACCTCCGAAACAGAAAGACCCAGAGGACCCCTGCAGCACAAACTCTCTAGCCACGGGCCACTGCAGTATCGGGGCCTTAATGAGTAGAATGTGGGTTTGGGGGTAAGTTAGAAGCTGCCCCCACCCTGTAATAGTGACTATAAGGATTATATTAGGGCCTATTATATTCCGATTATACCACTATTACAGGGTGGGGGCAGCTTCTAAGGGGTAAAAGGCACAAACCGTCACCTCGTCGACGCAGACCTTATCTCCGAAGCGATGGCGGCAGAGCGCATTGACTACCTCGGAGGGGCCCGGGGGTGACCGACTTTGCCTCAGGCCACACGAGGACTTGGGGTTCAGGGTTTAGGGGTCTAGGGTTTCGGGTTTAAGTTTTTTTTTGGACAGCCCTTTTCCTCCTCGCAGTTAAGTCCAGGGTTTAGTGTTTGGGGACTGTCATATAAAACATTCTCGTGGCAGCGACAGAAGTACCGAAGAAAAGCACTGCTGAGAATGAATCCAAGAACTCAAGCACAATCACCACCACAGTCCATACTAGTAACAAGACGACGGCCACCCATAGTCATTGTTCCGAATGTTTTCCAATCGTGTCATAGTTGCTGCCATGCCCAATTCTAAACCTTTCTGTTGGTTGCAAACGTGTAAAGTGTGGTTTCCGAACATAGGGGACCCTGATATAGTACCCTGAATCGTAGGATCCTTATTATAAGAGCCCCAAAACATGCAGTATCCCAAACCCCTTACCCCTCAAGGATCCCCCTTAGCCCTCAGAGAATCCCTATAGAACCCTTGAAGGAACCCTAGGACCCCAAAATACGGTGCACCCCTAACTTTCGGACAGGGAGAGGCGATTTTCGCCTCCACGGTTTAGGGTCTAGGGCAGTGCAGGATTTACTGTTTAGGGTTTAGGGTTCCGGCGCTCACACTCGGACAATAGGGTTTAGGGTGTAGGGTTTAGGGTTTAGGTCTAAGGTAATTTTTCCCCCTCCGACCGAGCAGCAAGGACAAAGCCCACATTGCAGGGTGGTCTAGGGTATTAGGCTTAGGGTGTAGTAGTAACCTGAATCAAGAGCGCGGCGTGTCACAACCAAAGGTTCCGATGCTCAGACTCATACACCTGAACCCGAAACCTTAAACCCCTCAACGACCTCACAGATCTAAGCCAGAGCCCTTTTTGATGGGATCCCGCACATTGCGGGCCGTGTCGCACGGCTCTTCGGCCACCCACTGCGCCTCAACCTCCTGTGTGGCGAATTTTAAGTGACAGCTTCCTTCGCACAAGAACGACCTAGAAGCCTGTAAGAATGAACGCTAGAGCTGCCAGGCACAAGCCATAAGCTACGCCTGGCACCGAAAAGCGACTCCCTCAATCTCTGTCTACCAGTTCTCATCGAATTTCCTGCAGCTAGGCTCGAAAATCTCGGTGGCACACCGCTTCTTCCCCCCTCTTGACTTCATGTTCTTTCTGCAGGTGTGAAGGTCTTAGGACTGATAATATGAATCATGCTGATACGGCTAATGTTAACAATACTAATAGTACTAATAATACGAGTAGCATTAATACCATCGAGAGTGTGAACAATACATGTCAGTAATGTTAATAATACAAACTGACAATACGAATAGTATTCATCTTTAAAAAAACAAATACTACTAATAGTTTGAATAGTATTCATAGCATAAAATATGAGTGTTTATTCATCATCATAATCATAATAATATTAGCAGTATTACCTATATTCACGGTGTTAATAGTATTGATTATTGATGGCTTTGCCTTGTTTCTCTCTCGCTCTCGATCTCTGGTCCTTTCTATTCGCCGTCTCAAGGCCACCCCCGGAGGCCCTGGACGCCATCGGCAAAGCTGGCTTGCAGCAAGGCGTGGAATTGGAACCTCTTACACAACCGTCCAGCCTCTCTCTCGCTCTCTATCTCTCTCTGTGTGTCTGTGTCTGAGTCTCTGTGCTCCTGTATTCCCGTGTGTCCGTATCGATCGAGGTGCACACGAGGCAGCCCTCTTTCAACTGCTTTGCTTAACAATCCGGCGCAAGAGCTGGAAGCCTAATGTAAGAGCCTTAATATTAGAAGAGGGTTTTGGGTACAGTATAGTAGAATTTCTAACAAGGAACCCCTAAGGAAAAATAGAGGTAACTCTTAAGATTTCTATGGTACCATGTCCATCATAATTTCTAAAACAAGGAACCCTTCAGGAAAATAGAATAGAAGTGACTTTTAAGGTTTCTATGGTACCCTTAAGGAAAATAAAGGTAATCATTAAGGTTTCTATGGTACCATGTGGGTGTTTCAGAAAATTGGGGACCCTAATATAGTACCCTAAATAGTAGGATCCTTATTACAGGACCCCAACATAAGGGACCCCTAGTTTTCGGAAACTCCCATGTCCATCTCCTTGGCGCTGAGGCTGGCACGGGAAGCCCTTCCGTCTGCATGGCTTGTGGACCACCGTCCTCGGCGGGTTTGGGTTTGGGGTTTAGGGTTCAGGGCTCAGGGTTCAGGGTTTAAGGTTTAGCCTTTAGGGTTTATGGTTCAGGGTTCAGGGTTTAGGGTTTAGCGTTTAGGGTTTAGGATTTAGGGTTCAGGGTCTAGGGTTTAGGGTTTTGGGTTTAGGGTTTGGGGTTTAGGGTGTTGGGTTTTGGGTTCTTTCTTTTATTTAACCCCCTGTTTACAGCTGCACAACCATCTGAACTGCTGTAAGGCCAGTTGGGTTTAGGGTTTAGGGTTTAGGTTTTTTATAATGGGCTCTTTTCCGTCTGCACTTGAAAGGTTTTAGGGTTTAGGGTTCAGGGTTTTTTTTCCCTCTCGCATGGCTGGAGATCAAAGTCCGCTCGCGAGGGTTCAGGGTTTAGGGTTTAAGGTTGGGGTTTCTTGCCGGGTTTGGGATGGAAGGGGTTTTGTATGTGAACGCCGCTTCTCTCCGCGTGCGAACACCCGCGATAGAAGGTGTCGGGTTTCGGGTAGAAGTGCATCGCTTGAGGCAGGAGTTTCCCGGACCTTACGTTTTGGGGTGGCGGGCCACTTACCTTCGGAAGAAGACTAAGCTATGACGTGCATACGGCAGGGACTTCTCAAGAAAATTCTATTGCTTGTTTTCGGAGCCTTGACAGGGAGAGATGGAACACCTCTTGGTGCTCGGTCTATGGACAGTGTCAGCCGTCACGGCAGGGAAAGAGCACGAAAGTCCCATCTGGGGTCTGGCCAAGCAGGGCTAGGTTGGCCCTTTAAAGCCTTTGAAAAATATTCGTAAAGAGGGTCAGCCCAATAAGGGAAAATATAAAATGTCCCAAAGGCCTACCTAGAGGACTACAGGCTTCGCATTGCGAGTTTGTCGTCTGGTTGGTAGAGGAGCCGTGAAGCGGCAGTCGTAGGATAGCAGTATTGTAAAGGAAACAGGGTAGTGGTGGTGGTGGTAGCAGTGGTAGCAGCAGGATCAGCGGTGGTAGTAGTAGCCGTCGTAGCAGTAGCAGAAGCAGTAGTGGCAATAGTGGCAGTCGTGGCAGCTGTGGTCGTCGTCGTAGCTAGTGCAGTAGTGTGGTGGTAGTGTTACAGTGTGGTGGCGTAGTGGTGTAGTAGTGCTGTAGTGTTGTAGTGTTGGGGTCCCGTAGTTTTGTAGAGTTGTAGCGGTGAGCAGTGAAGTGGTGTAGTGGTGTAGTGGTGCGGCGGTTTAATGGTGTGGTGTAGTGGTTTAGGTGGTGCAGTTTTTGGTGTAAATCTACTGTTGCAGTGCTGCAGTGTCGTAGTGTGGTGGTCTTGTAGTGTAGTATTTGTAGCGTAGTAGTGAAGTAGCGTAGTAGGTGTAGTGGTGTAGTAGTGTAGTAGTGTAGTAGTGTAGTAGTGTAGTAGTGTTGCGGTGCTCGAGTGTTGTCGCGTTGTAGTGCTGTAGTGTTGTAGCGCTGCAGTGTTGCAATGATGCAGTGTTGCAGTGTTGTAGTGTTGCAGTGTTGTAGTGTTGTAATGCTGTAGCGACAGCAGCAGCAAACAACAACAGAAGCGGCAGCAGCAGCAGTAGCAGGAGTAGTAGTAGTAGTAGTAGTAGCAGCAGCAGCAGTTGCGGCAGCAGCAGCGGTAGCAGCTGCAGTGCACACAATATCATCGTGCTGGCCGCCGCCGACACAGTAGTAGTGGTCGTCGTCGTCGTCATCGTCGCCATCGTCGTCGGAGTGGCAATGGCAGTTGTAGCGGTGGTGGTAGTCGTGGTGGTAGTGCTAGTGCTGGTCCTAGGAAGTAGTACGCTGGTTGTAGCAAAGGCAGCGGCAGTGGCCGTGGTAGTGCGAGCGTACATGACAGCGGTAGTGGAAGTCGTAGCTTCCGGGAGTGGGAGCGGGAGTCGTAGTGCTAGTGCCGGTGCGCGTGCTTGTACTAGTGCTATTGGTAGATGTGGTCGTGGTAGAAAGCGTAGTGGTGGTGGTAGTAGTAGTAGTAGTAGTACTACTACTACTACTACAACTACTACTACTACTACTACGACGACGACGACGACTTCCACCACTAGCCGTAGCCGCAGCTGCAGCAGTCCCAACAACCTCCTAAAACCCTCCTAGAAATATTGAAAAATCAAAGATACCCCATGCATCACATCGACATACCCAAACCCTTTTTGAAGCACGGGCATACCCAAACCCTAAACCCGAGGCCCTAAACCCCAACCCTATATACCCCAATCTCGGATGAGACTTCGCCTCCTAAAGGGCGCACAGCTTCGACCTCAACCGATTTGGTTGATGCCTGAAAAGGCAAAAAAAGGAGCGGGGCCACGTCCCTGTAATATAGGGGCCCAAATAATTAGAATAGGGTTTTGGAGCCCATTAAGGTATAAAAAGAGGAACCCCCAAAATAGTATAGGTGATTATAAGGCCCCTATAGTAGGGCTTTTGGTGGGGTGAGGTTTCAGATTGTCAAGTCTCTCTCAGGGGTCAGGCCCATGTGGGTAGTTGGCAAAATTAGGGTCCCTTTTTGGGTACCCTAAATATTAGGTGCCGGATTATAATAAGGACCCAAAAAGGGACCCTAATTTTGACAACCACCCATGTGACAAATTGGTTGGCTGCGCCAGCGCACGTTACAAGCAGATCTGCAGTGCTTCCACCCGATCGGCAGTCCACTAAAATTTTGCCCGTAACACCAGCCCTCTGTATGCCCATGCTGGACGGGTGGGTGACAAGTTCGATGCATCTTAGAAATGCAGGGCAAGTACTGAGTGGTTCGACAGAGTATTTCACTGGAAATCATGCGACCAGCATGTGGAGAGCATCTCACTGTTGATTTACGGAACTTGCCGAAAAGCCCGTTCCGCTCCTGCTAGAAGCCCCAGACAAAGAAGTGAATCAAGAGATCTGTGCCATCTACAGCACTGATGATCATTGTACCCGGGTCTCGGGGCATTCGGCGCACCAAGCTTCGGCTCCGGCGACTTAAGCGACCAACCTCCAAAATCGCTGCACGTCAGCGGTCTTCCGCTGTCAAAAGTCCGCATCTGCTTGCTGCCATGGGCAGCTCAGTTCAGGAACTGCGACAGCCACTGGAAAGCCTGCACCCCAACTACGGTCAAAACCCTGGGGCACACTTCCGAAGAACTCCTTCGTGCGAGCTGCTGGCAATTGTCTCCCTGCCCTCTTACATTCGGTTTAGGGTTTAGGGGTTTCGGCGCTCACACTCGGACATGGGTGTTTTGACACTCACACTCGGACAAAGCCTGGCAAGGTCTGTAGCGATCCTGGTCCTTCGTTAACAAGCAACTGGCACGTATCACCAGACGCCCTGATCAAGGAATCCCTTGCCCCCGTTTCAGGCAAGAGACCACGCTGTCATGGGTTTAGGGTTTAGGGCCGTGGCCTCTGCGTAGCCCATCCTCTTGACAACCTCAAGCGTACACTCGGAGCTTCATCAGCGTCAGGGCTTCAAGGGGTTTCGAGCTTGCACCTTCGTGCCAATACACGGCCTTTGTCTAATAAGCACTTGCATTCTTTCAGGGCCCTACCATGCTTTGCTCGACTGTACCCCCCAGAAAGCAGTTCTTGTATTTCTTTTTATATGTTGTCCACAAACCACTGAAGCCTGCCTACCCCACGACACTGGCACCCCCAACAGGCCGAGAGTAAACTCGCCATGATCCCTCCACGCCCAAAGCATCGTGCTGTTTATGCTATGCTGCTATGGTATGTTATAGTGCATTACAGTGTCTACTGTGGTGCATTTCAATATGGTAGAGTATCTTGTAGCATATGATAGTACATCTCGTTATACCTTGTAGCGAGTTATAGGAACATCCATGTTCAAGCTTGACGGTTTATAACAACCTTCATGGTCATCGTCGCCACATGCGCGCTTGAACTTACAATGATTCAGCGCTTGCGGGGCAGGGAGCAATGGCACTGCCAGTGGTAGTGATGATACTATGAGACATCAAAACTTTTGCCCGCATCATCTCCAACGGCTTCAAGTGCCGTGTTTAGGATTTAGATGTCTGCTGGCCGCGTAGCTGTTCACGGAGCTAAGAACAGCTCAGACACTAGAATAGTGTTCTTTATGGTCCCATGTTACAAAACCCTGCTCTAACAGTCAAGGCCAGGAAGTTACATTATCAAAGAAACTGGGCTCCCGGCGCTCACCATAAAAAGCTCCACGGGGCGGACCTGGCTGTCTCCCTTCTTGGCATCCTGCGGGCACGTGTAGACATCCAGGGATAGCGGTCAGGGCTTCAGAAACTTGGGGGAAGTTCGGGCGTAGGGTTTGGGCTTCGTTTTTTTGGGTTTGTTTTTGGTTGAGCTCCTTTCTGCGGTCGCCCCGTCCTGTAGAACCAGTGCAAGTCCTTTTCGGGCAGGGGGATTGGGGTTTGGGTCTAGAATTTTAAGGTTAACCCTAAGCCCTAATCCACGTTTTCTGGGAATCGGATCGAAGCTTGCGCCCTGAGAGGACTTGGAGCTTGCGTGCCGTGATCCCACGGTTTGGAGCTCCCAGGGCTCTCCTACACCCGGCCAAACCCCAAAGCACCACAGCCCTTAACAAGGCACACACAACCTGAACCGCCAAAGTCCAAAAACTCTTTTACGCCACCCCGGTGCAACTGGACCAGAACAGCTAGCAAAACCCTCTATACCTAAGCCTAAACTCCTAAAGCCTCTTTTGAATCAACGGATCTCGGGGCGTTCTGCAAACCTGAGGTCCCGACACGTCCGTAGGTCATGTGGCCTGGGTACTCTGAGGCTCATAGCTGCTTTCAAGGGGGCCTAGGGCTCGATTGTGTTGGGCTTCAGGTGTAGTTTCGGGTTTGGAATTTCATATTCCTCATCATCAGGAGCCTCAACTGCATGCCCTAACTCCCATGAACCAGCTGCCTGCCCCAAAGTTCCCCAAAACATCCTGCAAACCTCAGCCCCTGAGCTCTCGAAGAAATCCTCAAACCCTAAACCCTAAACCCCTAAACCCTAACCCCTAAACCCTTGGCTGGGAATCCGGCTCAGCAATCCCAGCGCCTCAGAGATCCGAGAGTGCCCCCCGCAGGAGTTTAGTGGCCGAATAGAGGAACCAGTGTTTTGTAGGAACTAGACTTCCTTTAAAGGCTTCTGTAAGATTACCGTAAGAGTTTAGGAGCCGAATAGAGGAACCAGGGTTTTGTAGGACCTAGAAGGGTTCCTTTGAATGCTTCTATGGGTTCCTTTAAAAGCTTCTATAAGGGTACCATAAGAAATATAGGAACCAGGATTTATGGGAACTAGAATTCCTTTAAAGGCTTCTAGAAGGGTACCATAAGAGTTTAGGAGCCTAATACAGAAACCAGGGTTTATAAGAACTACAACGGTGCCTCGCAAGGGTTCTATAAGGGAGCCGCACATATAGGAACCTGAAAACGAAACTCTGGGTCCTTGTTAGGGTTCGAAACATGAACCTTACTGTCTTGGGGTTATAAGGCCAGGGTTTTTGTCATCAGGTTCCTACACTACCTTTATAAGACCCCTCATCGAATTCCAAAGGGCCCGTATAGAACCCTGCTAGGACCCCTTACGATGCCTTATAGAACCCCATATAAGCCCCGCAAACCATCCTTTGAGGACGACCCCTTGGAACTGCTCACAAAGCCATGTCGGATCCGTGTGCAACCCCTATACCTCCTAGGACGCCTTATTGTTTCGGCGCTCACACTCGGACAATCCAGGCGGGGCACGTGGTTCGGGTCTGTTGAGTGAAACATCTGGTATGGGAACGTTTAGAAGTTTCAGTTTCAGCCTGATCACTGCACGGCTTAGAGTTTAGAGCAAAACTTGTCAGATAGGGCTTTAGTGGTCTATTATACTATAGCTCAAATAAGGAACCCCGAAGTAGTGTTATTGACTCCCCCCAACTAAGAAAAAGATCCGAAGCCCGGGCGTTGCGGAGCTCGTCCTCGCTGGCCGCTGTAGGGATGTCGATCTTGTTCCCCAAGACGACAAAGGGCCTGGGTTTCAGGGCTTGGGGTTTCGGCACCCACTCTCGAACAAGCGCCAGGCGAGGTTCCCTAAACCCTACAGTAGAAGCCAGAAAGTTGGAACATAGTTGTCCTCATACCCTTAAGGTAAACTATAAGGGATCCTAGCACTAATCCTCCTAAAGCCATGTTCCAACTTTCTGGCTTCTACTATAAACCTTTCCAAGACTGAGGTTCAGGCTTTGGGGTTTGAAGGCTTCAGGATTCGGGGTTGGGGCCTCAACGGATTAGCGTTTCAGAAGACGACAGCAGGGCCGCAAGCGGCTAAGAACGGCTTCTTCCGAGAGTTTGGGTTCAGGGTCTCAGGATTAGGGTTTTGGTGCTTGGGGGCTGAATACGGTCATAAAGTTAGGGCAGAAGGTTCGGAATTTCAGAGTTAAGGTTTCGGCCGGGTTTGAGTTAGGGGCAGCGTCGACCCAAAATGAAACTGTTGTTCAATACCGCACTGGGGTTGTACGATAACAGAACAGCCGATTAAAGTGCAGGGTTAGAAGGCTTAGTTTAGGAGTTGGGGGTTTAGCGTTGAGCATTTCGGATTCCGGATTACAGGTAGGTTTGGGGAGGGCGGAGCTCAGTGGATGTTGGGGGGGAGGGCGTCGGCTTTGGAGGTTTCGTCGCCCCTCCTGGCGAGGCCTTTGTCCATTGCGCTTGCTGACCTAGAAGATTAAGCTGGCTCAACGATTCTGGGTTCTGGCTCAGGAATTCATTTTAAGTTACCATAATAGGAATCTATAGTACATAATATGGTTTCCTTATTATGGTAACTCAAATTAAACTCCTTAACAAGAACCCCGGAATTTGCCATAATATTCAGAAACCAGCTCAGACAATCCGAACAAACGGTTAAGGCAGCTTAAGGTCGTGGATACAAAGCACATTAGTCTTAGGAACCGCCCTCAATTCTCAGGCAGCAATAGGGTTAGGGCAGAGCAATTAAGAGCGGAAATTGACCTCTCATGTGAAAACAGGGATGCCTCGGGAATGCTGACTGGTTCCATTCCGCCTCTCGTCAAGGTGTCGGCAACAACTTGATGCAAGCATCCTAGGCTTAGGGCTTAACCAAACCTCACGCGCAGAACATTTTGGGCCTGCTAGACATCCTCTGTACGCTGTACACGTGCGCGACATCCCGCGCACCACCACAGCAGTGACCCGAGCGTCAGACCATTAAGGAGAATCTCTCGCATGGGATTCTGCCAATCGCTTGGCATCCTGGTAGATGGCCTCAAGGCATGGGGAGCCCATGACGCACTGATGATCACCAGCGTCGTGCATGTACATCGTGGTGCACTCAACCTCCCAGCCGTCAGGCGTTGTTATCTTCGCCAGGATCTCCTCCATCTTGGTGCCTTCCCTGCTGAGATGTGGCAGCAGACTTGGGACTGGTGTGTGCAGCAAGCCTTCTATTTCTTCCCAACGAGTAGTGACTTTGGAAGACACATGCCTGCGAATGGGGTATTCGCTTAAGTCTCGCAATGCGACCACATAGTCCAAATCGGTGCTCAAATAACCCAGGCTGACGTTGCAACCACCGTCCCCTCCAGGCAAGTCAAAGGTGCCACTCAAATGGATTATGGCCAGGGGAACTTTTGGCTTCGGGTGATGAAAGCCGATATTCAGCCAGTCGCTTGCCGGGCATGTCTCACGGGTTTGAGACATCTCCCAGCCGGAAAGGCCCATGGCCATGAGAGCTGGCGACTCCTCCCCCACTACCTTCAAAGCACCTGCAAACATTTCCGGCAGGCTTTGGGACATCGTCGGGGGGAACCCAAGTAGGCGTTTCGTCAACTCGAAGCTTTCGTTGCCGTTCATGGCCACAAAGCTCTCTGACAAGCTCCGCACTATGACCTCCTTCGGGTCCCGCTCGTCCTGCTCGTCCTTCTCTTCCGGTGGCTCCGGTGTTGGCATACTTGCGTAAATCTCAACTGTTGGGCCAAACTGCCAGTATTGAATCTTGCAACTCTCCATGTGCCCCCTGGCCCAACGGAAGCAGTTGCAGAGATCCTGGTCCCGCACGAGGAGCTCCTCCAATGTGATCATCTTCAGCTGCTCCAGGATCCAGAAGCCTTCACCTGCCTGGAGGCATTGAGGCCACAACCTCCTCAAACTTCTGCAGCAGCGCAGAGCCTTCAAAGCTGACGGGCCACTGAGTAGCTGGACAATGCGCGGCAACCACACGGAAGACAAAGTCTCCATGGTCGGCCTGGGAAGAGGAGGCACTGATGAGCGAACAAGCCTTGAGCCAAATACAACGACGACGAAAGGCCTGAAAGCATTGTTGGGGCATAGCCCCCCAGAAGCTGTAGGGAATCCTCAGCAAGTGTTTGTGCATGCGTCTCGGAAATCTCTTCAGATTCTGCTGGAAATCTGATGGATGCAAGAACACGGCAGACTAGGACTGGTAAATACAAGACACAAGCCATACCTCTTCAAAGCTTAAGCCCAAATTCAGGGCTTCAAAGCCGTGTATCCTCGTGCTTTGGGAAAAGCCTCGAAGTGATATACTTACAACTGCCCGAATTTTCAACATTACCAGTACCGCTAAGAAGCACTGCCGCCAGCATGAAGTCATGGCGTCCCTGTCCCCTCCCTCGCAAGAAGCATGCATACGCACGCGGATATAACATTTTCCTCTCGCCCTGCCACAGCACGTGTATAACTGTATGTATGTACTATGCAAGTTTGTATGTACGTATGTATGCGTGTGGTTGCCATATGGGAGTTTCCGAGAATTAGGGGTACCTCATTTTTGGGTCCTTATAATAAGGATCCTATTTTTTAGGGCACTATATTGGGGTCCCTTGTTTTCGGAAACCCCCATATCCGTTCTTGTAGAAGAAATGTCCCTAGCAAAAATTATAATTTTAGCTGTTTCTTCGGGATTATAATAACCAAAAATTAAAAACTATTTCTAAGTACCCCTAAGTCCGCTCTTGTAGAAGAGACCCTAAACCCTAAACCCTAAACCCTAAACCTTAAACCGTAGAAGAAATGTGTTGAGGATCCCGGCACGCTCGCCAGGGCCTGCTCCTGTAGGAGGCCGCTGAGTTCCTCCTGGGCCTCGAAAGGGTTTAGGGTTTAGGGTTTAGGGTTTAGGGTGTAGGCTTCAGGGTTACCATTACATTATGGCTTTTTAGGTTTAGGGTTATAATTTCACCAGATTAAGTTATATCATAGCATACAGAACTCTAGCACATTATCCTGTACAATGTTGTGCCATATGTGGCTTCCACTCACAACTAGGGTGTAGGGTTTAGGGTTCAGCAGGGGGCTTCGCGAAAGCCAAGCGGGTTTTAAGCTTTCTTATGGGTAGGTAGGGTGTGGAGTTTGAGGAGTTAAAGACTTTCGGGCTTTCGGTGCCTGAGGTGTTGGAGCTTGCAGCTTTCAGGGGTTTTAGGTGCTTTCGGATTGGGGGCGGATTTACGGTTTCAAGATGCTTAAGGCTTTTGGTTGGGGGTGTGTTGTGATGTTGTGGTCAGGGGCTCTGGGTGAGGCATCAGCATGTATAGTACACCCCAGAGCCGTGCACTCCGACTCAAGCGCATAATATAGGGGCAATACTACTTTTTGTTTTGTGGGGGGAGATCCCCATTATATTTAAGGTATAATATACCCCAAAATCCTATTCTTATTGATCATTCAGGCCCCTATACTACCCTCTCTCTCTCACACACACACGGGCTCAGTTACCTGTCAGCCCCTATACTACCCTGAACCCCGAATCCCTTAAACTCAAGAGCCTATCTTCCTCGCGAAGCGCAGCGACCGCAGAGGCTCGGGGGGTAGGGCCTCCTGGAATCGCGTCCGGTCGGCTGCATCGACCTGGGATCTGCTTTAAAATAATTAGAAGAGGGGGGTTCCTTTTAAAGGGATCCTTAAAGGGTTCTATAAGAGATCTATAATAGGGTTCTATATATTAGGAGCCTTTAAATACTTAGAATAGGGTTTTGGTGTATATCATACTGTATTTATAATAAGGAACCCCCAACAAAGTATTGGTAACTATTGGTAGGTGTTGCGTCTGCCGCCGCGCGGGGTGGTGCAATTCCTCTGCTGGCATGCGCTGAAACTCGAATTTTGGCACTTTCGTCACCTGACGTTTAACTTTGCTTTTGCTTTCGCATCGGTTTTTGCGGTGTTCTCTACCAAAAAAGTGACCCCGCCGGCGGGCTGCACTCTGCAAACTCATGTTCGGCTCTGCATTTCGCCTCGTTTTTTTCGGTGTTTTCCTGTGTGTCGCATTTCGCATCGTTTTTTGCAGTGTGTTTGCCGACTCTCGACTTTCTGCACATGCCGGCTTCGACTTGCATTTGTCTTTCAGCTCTGTGCGGGGCTTGGGGGGGCTGGGGGGGGGGGGTTGATGACGTCAATGCGAGCGCGGTTGTGCTTCTCTTGTTGTTTACTATGTGTCGCATTTCGCATTGGTTCTTACGGTGTTTTTGCCGATTCTCGAATTTGTGTACATGCCAGCTGAAACTTGCAATTTGTCTTTCAACTCTGTGCAGGGTGCGGGGGATGGGGGGGGGGGGTGATGACGTCCATGCGAATGCGGCTTGTGTCTTCTGTTTCTTTGGTTGCGTGACTTCTCAAACGCTACCAGTTGCTCTGTCAACCCGTGCTTGCCGTTTCTTGTTGCTTCACTTTGGAAACGTCCACCACGAAAAAAGCTCGTGTTTTTGACACTGTCCAGACAAAAACTTCCAAAATGAGCCTGAAAAATCAACATAAATCAAACACGAAAAACATTGTATTTGCGACACTTCCGCAAAAATCAAGCCAAAAACACAAGACAAAGAACTACAGAAATTTTAAACTCCGATACATCGTCTTGTTGATGAAAAACCACACAAAACACTGGGCCTTCTCTTTTTTGGCCAAAACACCTCCCAAACATAAACGACACACCCCGCGCGGCGCAGACGCAACGCCTTCCTAATTGTTCAGGCCCCTAGAATACAAGAACCTTTATCATCTACACAAGCGGTTGGGTATACAACTACAACAAGGATTACTAAACTATAAGTTGCTAAACTTTAAGCCTCTAAGCTACCCTTGTAGTTCCCTACTTGGAGAAATCGAGTTTCGAAGCTGTTCTTTGATGTTGAAAATGTTCTTGACGATTTTGCGATGCATTGGGGTGGCGTTTTAGTTCAGGTTTTGCACTGAGGTTAATGACAGTAGGAACAGCAGCAGCAGCTGCATGGGGAAAGATGGTGCCAATCTTGATAGTGTTGTTGTCGCAGGTGGTGTCTTGCAGACGGGATCCGGCTATCTCCCGTCTAACTCGGAGCGCGCTTTGCAGTACACTGCTGCGAGCCGCTAGATTCGAAGCCAAACGGGTCCAGAATGTCAGGGGTGGGCTCAATGGTTCCGGGCCGAAGTGGATGGCTTCGCAGGCTCGGAGGGTGCATTCTTGGGGCTGCAAAAATGAAAATATTGGCTTGGGCCCCCACCAGGAAAATGATACCATCCACGGTGGCGAAGTAGTCCTGCATGAGGCAAGCCATCTGTTAGGGCTTCCCGAAGCATGGACTTTTACACCTCGCTACAAAAAACCTAAAAATTTAAGCTCCCCACGTCAATGCGAGAATTTCTACGTCTAGCGTTTCAACGCACAGTCAGCTTTCGGCCTTCGGGTTTAGGGGTGTGTAGGGCTCCCCAGATCTCCTGGTACTTAGTGTCCGAGTTTCTGAAACTCCCGTTTTGCTTACCTTTTTGTTAGTAGGGAGTGGAGGAATGGTGTACAATTATAACTACTATTTCTACTATTCGTCCATTCCCTACTAAACAAAGGTAAGTTTGGGGGGGGGGGGGGTGGGTGTCCTTCCAAATGCGCCGGGCGGTCTCATGCCCACCGAGGTCGTAGGTGCGGAAGCGGATGTTCTTGATCATAAGCTCCTGGTCTTGATCTGATGGGGTGGTGCGGCTCATTGGATCTACGGATAACTTTGGGTTTCGACTTGGTACACTTCTCGATTTCTGCGTGTCATCCTTGCGCAGGGGCCATGCTAATCTTCTCTGTATCGTTCCAAATTTATCGGTAACTTTGGGCTTAAGGTTTATGGTTTTTGGCCCTGGCATCTAAGGAAATGCCAAGGGGGACTCTCCCGGTCAGGCTGGCTCAAGTCGGAACCTGGAGCTCTTGGCACCTGTGGCTCTGAAGGCATCCGCAGTTCTTCGGTGTACAGGGAACTCCAGAAAGTTGGAATATGGTTTCATGGTAGGATACCCTATAATTTACCATAGAAGGGTTAGGATAATCATATTCCAACTTTCTGGCTTTTACCTTAGGGTGCTTGGAGGCGCCGGAGGAAAAATCTTTCGCCGTCAGAAGCTTCAGTTCTCAATGATGCAGTGAATAATAAAAATCTTCGACAGACTTGTAAGCCAGGCAGTAGCAGAAAAGGGCCAATAGGTCCCACAGCAGAGACGGTGCTGAAATTATGTCACGGCAGACATTATAGCAGGGTTTACGCTCTCACACTCGGGCTTGCCAGGTTCACGCTCCGCGCGGGCAGGGTTTCGACTCGCACACTCGCTCAAGGCAGGCACGGCTCCATGAGGTCGGCAGGGTTTAGGGCTTTGGGGCGAAGGTTCTCACCCACAGGAAGTGGCTCCTCAGAATGCGGATGAAGAGTGGGCACGTGAGTAGCAATGCGGTCATCCTTCAGCATGTGGAGCCTCATGAACACTGGCATCGGCCTAGTTCTCAAGGGCAACCGAGATTTACGGGCCATACTGATAGTCGTGGTAATCATACAGCGAAGAGGAATAATCAACATAGCACTACTGATCATACAAAGAAGAAACACTAGTAACAACAATAACGAAACCTCGCAAGAAGAATAAGCAGAAGACCAACCACTGTGGTAATCAGAAAGGTCGTAATGATTCTTAGGTTAAGGGTGCGCAAGCATAGCCGTGTTGCAGAGTGGTCTTGCCGGCATTGTCAAGTCCAAGGAAAAGGATCTTCGCGTTCTTGTTGCCAAGGCCGAGGTATCCTTGGCAGGCCGCGAGAACAAGAACCACGTTTTAGTCTCAGAACCGATGTGCGTTTATTTAACCAACGCAGCTGCGATGCCCAAAACATCGAAGAACCAGTTCACGATGAACATGCTGACCTTGGCATAGGCATCGCTCACGCTGGCAAACCCACCCCGTTGTCCTGCAACAAGCACACAAAGTCTCGAATGCCAACACCGAACCCCCGGCCCCCAAAAGCAGCCCGGTGAGAGCCACGCTGAGTTCGGCAGCCGAAGCGTCACAGCGAGGGCTTTTCTGATCCGAAACTGCTGCAACGTCGCGAGCAGCGGCTCGGTGGGATTAGAAGGGCTTCGAGCTTAGAAGGGCTATCTGCAAGGTTCGAGAGGGTTTTTGGTTGAAGATGGCTTTTTTTCCCTTGTTTGAAGATGGCTTGAAGTCGAGGGTTTAGTACGGCTTCAACGTTCGACCGACTCACCTCTGAACTGACTTCCAGGAGCCCCTTAGTGCACTGACCTTAGGAGCCCCTTCAGGCCAGGAGCAAAAGAAAAAGACTCATGACTCGTTGAAGCCACAGCTGATGCAATGACCAATGAACACCCCCGACTGCACAAAAAACGGCCGAAGCATGAAAGAACCCTCGAATAACCTGCCCACTAGGTTTTGTGGGGTGCGCAGAATGCAAAACACAGTTCTACAACGACCCCTCTGGCCGTCGCCGGTGTCAGAATGGAGCCTCTTGTCCCGGGAGGCAGATCATACAGAGGATCATGGAGCTACGAGGGTTCTACAAGTGCTCGAAAGGTGTCGACAGGTTCTGTGGGGGCTTACAGGGATTTCATTCGCAGGGACTGGGCCGGGATATGATAAATTCTGGAAATCCGTTTTGAGCATCGCGCCCGCATGCGCCGCAGGAATTCAGCACTTGCCAGCTCCTGGCCGCGGAAACAAGGAGCAAACTTAAGCCCTGGACGCCCTGAACCCACAGCACTCCTCAAAACACCCCGAAGCCCAAAGATCCTTCGAGAAATCTCCAAACCTCCACAAAGAGGGTGGACGAAGCCGGCACTCCTCCACAGCGGCTGGCGTGCTGGTGGTCTCCTGACGTCGGCCTTCCACCCACAAGTTGTAGGGGTGTATTTTGCTTGTATGAGGTGGTGGTCGGCGTCAGTACGACTTGTATATCGTCTGATCGGGATTAGGTAGGCTTCAGGGACCAGGATGTAAGGTGTACGGCTTGGACCCAGAATGTGGGCTTAGAGCTTGAGCTTCAAGGTTTAAGTTCTGGAGCGAGGTTGCGGAGTAATACTGTTGTTGAGCGGACTTTAGTTTGGAGAACTCCATAGGCCAAACGCTGCGGCCAAGCCCTTCCAGGCCATGCTCACACCACCTTGACAAAGGAAACGCCAAGCCGGGTAATGTTGGTGATGTCACGGGGACGGAACCCATCACATTTACGGACACCAAGCCACTTGGTGCGGATGATGCTATGGGAACCGAAAACCTTGCTTTTGAACTCAGACTCAGCCCACAAACCCTGCGGGAACCGTCGCGGCCCCTGCAAACCACTCGCCTCCCGCCCGTCGAGCGGCCCCCTCGGCAGGATGAAGGAAGAAGAGCTGAAAACACTGTCCTTGTTTATGTTTTTTGTATTGTTATGTTTAGTTTATGCGCTATATACTACCCATTGTATAAAACACGGTCGCTTCTGTTCTGACGACGGCGAAACCTATTTGGATATTACATATCCGACTTCTCCTCTGCTATCGTGACTGCTCCGATTCCGACTATGACTTTGCCATGACGAGGGCGAGGACGGCGACGACGACGGACCACGACGATGCCGATGTTGATGTTGCTGCCGACGACGACGACTATGACGATGCCGATCCCGATGCCGGTACCGATGACGATGGCGATGACGACGATGACAGTTGTTCTGGTGATGATAATGGTGCTGGGCATGATGATGACGATGATGACGATGATGACAACGACGATTACGATGACGATGATGGTGGCGGTGGTGGAGGCGGCGGTGGTGGGGGTGCAGTGGGGATGGGGTGGGGGTGGGAGTGGGAAGTGGTGGATCATGATGTTTCAATTTCTTTTCCGGGCACGCTCTGAGCTCTAGTCAGAAGTAGGCCGGGTGATACACTCCGCTCCGTGCGAAGTGCAGACCAACGGGATACGGACACAATCGCTTCGAATCAATGCACATTGCGAGATCTATCGTCCCAACATAGGACGCACTGTAGCAAGCTGCACTTCACCACAAAACTTGTGAGGGCTCTACAGTTGGTGTCAAGCCCAGGACGGCAACATCTGCAATGTCGTAAAAGCGATGGTTAGCACGACTGACACCTCAGCAAGCCCTCAGAAGCGGAGTCACTTCTGCTGTACGTTGGGGCCTACAGTAAGTTAGGCGAACGCTGTCCTACCAGCATGTGTGATAAGCTACGCAGGACACTGCAACCATATTTTCGAGTCATAAAGTGTACGGATCACAGATATGTGTGCGCATATATGCCTGATGTGTCTGCATGCTTATGTGCGCATGTATGCATGTACACGTGTAAGTGAGTATGTTCGTATGTATGCATGTATAATTCTGTGTATACCTGTCCGTACGCACATACGTATTCATGTATCTATGTCTCTATGTATGCATGCATGTATCTATCTATCTATACTAAGCAAGCAAGCAAGCAAGCAAGCAAGCAAGCAAGCAAGCAAGCAAGCAAGCAAGCATACTTGTTAGAATGTGCGTACATGGGTGGACGGATGGATGGATAGATGGATGAGTGCATGGGTGGATGGGTGGATGGGTGGATGCGTGGATGGGTGGATGGGTGGATCGGTGGATCGGTCCAAGTGTGTATGCGTGCATGTGTGTATTGTGCGTGTGTGCGCGTAGGTGCGTATGTGTCTATGCGTGTATGCGTGTATTTTTGTATATTTGTAACGTGTGTGTATGTGTGCATGTGGTTATGTGTGTATGTGTATGTATGTGCGCGCGTCCAAAGTGTACAAAGATTCTGGAGCAAATGTCTGCATGTCTGTATAGTCACATCTAACCTAGGTCAGCGCAATTGAACTTTCGCTGACTCGTTTACATACGAGTACGAGCTACTCACACATCGTGTTGAGGTTCACGAAATGTCCCTCCAAGTCCACGATCTCCGGGGCATCCTCTCCGAGGAGAGCCAAATCCTGGGCTGACAGGCCGAACTTTTGCTCCACCAGCTGGCGCAGCTTTCCTGTGGTGTTGTCTTACTATCAGCACAAAAGAAGGATCCGCAGCTTTCCACACTTGTTGTTTTGAATATTCAGAAAAAAATAAGATGTTGCTGAACAGCGATCAAGCTACCGCAGCGCTTCCGCAGCTTGGGCGAAGCCTCTTCGCAAATCTCCAGGAGGGAAAGGGTGCAGTTGCCAAGGAAGTTGTCCTTGGTCAAGTCGTCGCCAAAGAGGTCCGAGGGCGCCTGGCTCATCTGGGCGAAAAATGCCCTCAGAAGCTCCGCATACAACTCTGTCCGTCGTTGTGCAGCCTCCTCACAGCTGCACAGCAGCTGCAGCAAGCCTCGCCATTGATCGAAGCCATCGGCATTTTGCCCCAGGAGGAAGGCAATGTACGCCAGCTGCAACTCCCCAAGCATGGCCAACTCGTTCCCAGAGTATTCACGTGCCAACATCTGTTCCAGCTGCAATGTGCGATCCATATGCAGCTTCGTGGTCTCTTCCGCGGTCTGGCCACGGCCTTTTCTCATCTGCTTGGGAATGGTGGAGAAGAAGAGTGAGCCGTTGGATTCTATCACCTCCTCCACCTTTTGCACTGAATCTGCCATGACCTGGTCCCCGGCCCCATCCTCTCCGCCCTGGTCTTGGGCTTTGCCCTCAGTCTCCTGCTTCGTCTCAGCGTGGGCGTCGTATTCGGCCCGCTTGGATCGGATTCGCCCGGAGACGGGCTCGACTTTTTGGACCAGCTCTGCTGTCGCGTGGCGCGTAAGCTCCGCCCAGGGCTCCTGTAGCTCCAGCGGGTAGGGGCCGAGGTTCCGGTCGAAGTCAAAGCTCCGAACGCCGTCCGCGTACCGGAGCTCCTCGTCGGGATTGGGTCTCACCAGCTCCTCGCCCTCAGGATCCCAGCGAAAGACTGCCACGTCCTTGGGCTTCAGGAAGAGGAAGAAACCGGTGCGTGCCAGGCCGATGTCTTCGGAAGCACGTGGGCTGGAGTAGACGTAGTGGAGCCCTGGTGGCACCAACTTTACACCCATAAAATTTGCTCCAACGGACCATGCTGCGTAGTCCAAGCCGAAGAGCATTCCTTCCGGACAGCCGAGGCACAACACGGAGGCCCCGTGCTCTTGCAGCCGCATGACCTCCTCCGTCCGAGCCGGCGCCGCCATGGCGACCGCTGGCTTTGTCCAAAGCCGAACTACGGCTTCGCCTGTTCAACTTTTTTTGCACAGAAGTGGCCTTTGAACTCCCCGTTTTTCCCTGCATCAAAATCATGCTGACTGGAAACCCCGGCATCAAGCATGCACTTTTTGAAAGCACTGGAAACCCCTGGAGCCAAAACTCGCAGGGTTCAGGGCGGCAGGCCAGGAGCATCTGGGCACTTGGTCGAGCACAAGTCGCCATTCAAAGGGGAAAAGGAGGGACCCTTAATGGGGACCCCTACCCTATAATGGGCTATATATATATATATATATAATGGGTATATAATAGCTAGATTAAGGGTATATACCTAAGACCAAAAAAAAACATTGCAATCTTTACTCACACTCACCACCAAAGCACCGAGGATGGCGATATAGAGGCCGGGATGATTAGGAATGATATCCCTGCATGGCCCTGAAATAGTTCTGCTGCTCATCCGTAAGTCCCTTATAGTGTCTTGCCGGATGATTAGTAATGATATCATGATATCACGGTATAGTCCTGTCATGTTGGAGTCTGGGGAGGCTGAACAAGGGGGCAGCCCTCAGCTTCGTACCACGACAAACACCCACAGCGGAGGAGAGGCCCATGCCCCGTAAACCTCGCACCTCCTCAGACCGTAGTTTAGGATCCAGGGTGTCAGCACTCACTCTCGGACGAACCTAGGATCCAGGGTTTAGGATTCAGGGGTCTAGGGGTTTAGGCTAAGGATGAACAGTCTTTAGCAAACCCTTTCCGATGATGTAGAGCACATTCCAACCCTCACCGGCAAGCCAAAGGCCCCACGCCTGCAGAACCCACCCAGGCGCTGGGAAGCGGGGCCCTGCACGGCCGACGAAGCTCCTTCACGAATCGTTGTATGTGGGTGTCAGGCGTTTTGGATGGGAAATGAAGAGCTTTTACATTTGGGGTTGGGGGTTCAGGGTTGAGGGTCACGGGCTCCCTGAGACCGGAGACCGTTTCGATCCCAAATCCTCGACACTCCGAATCCCTGAGGAGCACTTTTATCGGGGCCTTACTAACTAGAGTATTGTTTTCGGTGCTCACTCTCGGACATGCCAGCTTGGTCCTTGGTCGGTTGGCGGTGAAAGCTATGTTCGAGGTTGGTTGGAACGAGCAAGGTTCTGGAGAGTGGTTTACTCCAACCACGTTTCGGACCATACAAAGGGTCCCGTTTCTATTGGCCTTGCCCTCGTATGCGTGCACAAGCCGCTATGCACACGCAGCAACCCCACGAAATCCTGTCTTCTGAGCACCTACAACGCATGAATTCCAAGTTTTGGAAATCGAGCCCTGATGCAACCCTATACCCTCCAGCCACCTGCAAAAAAAAACAACCATCAATTACATAAGAAAACACAAAAAGCCTTGCGCCACCACACCAAGGACAGAACTAGGAAAATCCGCAGGATATTGCGCAGAGACAGGTGCCAAGGAAGGAATCGGAGATGGGCATCTGCTACATGGGCTCTGTTGCACGGTCTGACAGGTTCTGCTGATTGTGGATGGCGCCGCCTTGCGATGATGTCAAACTGGAGGGCATGAAATACGTCTAGAGCTACATTTGCCTTTCCGTCCTTTTTGCATCAGGACTTGCGCAATCGTCTGCGAACTTTCCGGCCTAAACCCCACATGTACCGAACATGTACCAGCATACTTTCCACCCTAAACCCCAAAAGGTACCAGAATATACCAAAAGGTACCAAAATATGCCAAAATGTACCAGAATATACCAAAATATAGCAGAATCTTTGCCCAAGTCCCCTGCTCTGCAGCGCAGGAGCGCCGAGCCACGCCGCCCTTTTGCTGGGGTGCGGCGGCCAGCGCACAAAGTGCCGTGCCTGCTGGGGGGCTACTGTAGGGCTTTAAAGGTTCGATGAGGTTTTAAAGAAAGATTTCTATACGGGCTCAATAAGGGTTTCGAAGGGGTTCTATCAGGATTGCATGACGGTTCGTTTTATGGGTTTCCATAAGGTTCTAGAAGGGCTCATGGGGTGGAAGATCGCGAGGGATGATGTTTAGGGTGCCTAAACCCGAAACCGATTTCTGGCGGTCCTGGTGATACTGAATACCTGCAACGGTGATGGTCATGGTCATGACGACGATGGTGAAGATGGTGGTGATGGTGATGGTGACGGCAGAGGCTAAATTCTCGTGATGACGACCGTGGTGCCTATGAAGGTGACCGATGAAGATGATGCTGGCGGTGGTGAAGATACTGCCATGGTGATGGCAATGGGGCAGATCTGCGGACGATGATGATGCTGAAGATACAGGCAGCAATGAAGGAACTAGTAAGTGCCGTGTGCTTTACAGTCTCTGGGATAATGTTTGTGCCAGCGGCACAACCAAGCTCAGTATCAGGAAGCTGATAGTATGGCTAGCGCACTACGAGAACAGCGAGCTACATCACAGCAGCGAACCCCATTTGAAAAAAGTAAGCAACTACATGAACAAGAACGGTGGCCACCGCATCCTGGACAACGAGGAGCAACATGTATCATCATCTGAGGCAAGACTTTCACATCTCTGACGAGAAAGGCAAGGGGCACTTAGACCTTGAGACTGTGGATTCTCAAACACTGACCCGAACCCGACAAACACAAACACACACCTATGCACGCACGCACCCACACGCACAGAGACAACCAAAACGGTAAATCCTCAGCCCTAGACACTCTAAAATCCTCAACCCTGAAGAAGTCTTACAAGCTCCTCCAAAGTCCTCAACCCAGAACCCCACGCACCTGAGAAGATTGCCTTCGGCAGTCTCCTCCGACCTGTGGCAATTTTCGGGTTCTGCAAACCTCCTACAAGGGTCCTAGAGGGGAGCTGTAAGGATTTCATATGAAGCCTGGTCAACAAGATGTCTTCGTCGTTGTGCTGCGGCAGACTTGGCGCATCGGGTTGCTTGGATTTGACAGCCTCAACCACACATTGATTTCAAAGCCGCGAACCTCATATCCATCAGCGATCTTCGAGCTCCGGTTTTTCCCACCCGAGGCTGGCGAGATCGCTTTGGGGTTTGGATTTCGGGCTTTTGGAACCACTGGTTTTAGGCAAAGAAGTCGTAAACTCAAGCCGCGAGGAGCTGCTGCACTTTCCTGCCCCACCGGTACATCCTACAAAGCCAACATCAAATCCATGAATGTGGGTTGAGGCTTAGGCTTTAATGACCAGAAAGCCGAGAAGAGAAGCAAAGACAACAGGAGTGATCCTGCGCAGTATCATAAGCTGCTCCACTTGTTGGGGAAGCAGGGGTCCTTTCAGGGGACATTGAAGGCTGCGAGAACATGGCGAGCATGTTCATGCTGCTTTATTGGAGTAGCTACAACAAGGAGCACTGCAAAGAAGTCCTCTTGGTGATGGTAGCCTAGGTGATAGACTGGGAGTCATAAGAAGAGACAGAACAACCAATTTCATTTGTGACTGTCCATTCCTCCTCCTTCAACCAATTTCATTTGTGACTGTCCATTCCTCCCTCCTGGGCGACCTCAAACAAAGCCTGACACATCGCCGGACACGTCTCCAGGACCGCAGAAAGAAACCACAAGCACAAGTCCCGAACTCTGACCTAAATCCGCAGACCCCAATCGAAGAAGCGCCCCAAACCGCTAGAACCCAAAACGAGAACTCGGGTATCATAGCACAGTACAGTATACGACGGTAAGGTATAGCATAAGAAGCTATACTATCTTATAGTACGTTGCTGCATATTACAGTACGCTAAAGTGGAAGTGTATGATAGTCTACTATGGTATGCTACAGTCTAGCATATCAATACGGCTTACCCCCCTAAACCCTACACCCTGCACCCCAAACCCTGAAACCTCTGAAACCCGCTAACCCCACTCCGGAGCCTTCCCATGTCATCGAATGGCAACAGGCAAGCCCACGGCCAGCAGGCTCTTGGAGCTGTCTACTGTAGGGGCCTTAACAAATAAATCACAGGGTTTTGGTACCAATTATACCATAATTACAATAAGGAAATCCCAAATAGTATTGATAATCATTCAAGTTCAGCGCCAGTAGTAGAAGTTCTGAGGCGGTGGGCCGCTGTCCTTTCCCAGCGCGTTTTGAGCTGCTGCTACTACTACTACAACTACTACTACTACTTCTTCTTCTCTGCTACTACTATGATGGCTAGAGGTCTCCCTCCTTGTGGGACCACTCTCGTTACTGCTATTGGGGAGCTTCCTGCTTGTGGAGCTTCCCAGTATGTGCCAGAGGGGCTCTGAGGGTCTAGTAGTAGTAGTGGTAGTGGTAGTGGTAGTGGTAGTGGTAGTGGTAGTGGTAGTGGTAGTGGTAGTGGTAGTGGTAGTGGTAGTGGTAGTGGTAGTGGTAGTGGTAGTGGTAGTGGTGGTAGTAGTAGTAGTATACTAGTATTGGTACTAGTACTAGTACTAGCACTAGCACTAGTACTAGTACTAGTACTAGTAGTAGTCCTGGTCTGTATGCTTCGTTCTGCAAAGATAAGGTTTACCACCTGGTCTGGGGCTGATATATAGTGTCCTCGGGTGGGGCTGTTAAGCTTGGGACTCAGGGAGGAAAACCTGGTCCAGGGGTGTTTCAGAAAATTGGGGACCCTAATATAGTACCCTAAATAGTAGGATCCTTATTTAAGGACCCCAACATAAGGGACTTTGCAAGAGTCCGGTTCAACTGCTCCTTGTGTGAGGTTCAAGCTTGGAGGCGCTGCGCCTAACGTAGGAACCTGATTAAGAAATCCTGGACCCACAACCACAAAATAGTAGGATGCATACAAGGAGCCCTAATAAAGGCCCACGGTTTCTTAATCAGGTTCCGACATTAGACCGAGAATCAAGTGAAAAGC